GACAAAGAAAAACAATAGAAAAGTTTTTTTTTTCACCAGGGTTACCTCTACACTTTTCTCCTTTACTTTAAAATGTAACACCTAGTTACTCGTTACAAAATTAATTATGCTCGAACTCATCATGAAAGAAGATGTTTCTGCTGTAAAAAATTAAGTGTTGAAATTACTCAACAAATTCATGTCAACTGGTTCCACTAAGCCTAGCTGAGTAAACTGAGCAAAGAATATAAATAAACCATACTGAATTCAACAGTTTATTTCTTAGAGAGTGTGTAAAAATACTTTTACTTTCCCAATTTTTGTGAACAGCTTTACAACTTTTACTTGAGTAGTTTTCTCATCGGTGAAATGTATTTTTACCAAAGTCATTTTCTGTTCATGTAATTTTACTTTTACTTAGTTATTGTTTTTTCAAATACTTCATAGACTTTATAGTATCTATATAGATACTTCCCCACTCAGAAGTTAAGAGGCTTGGCACAAGTTTTTCCCTATATCATCCTTGTGTAACTTAATTTCACACTCTCCATTTAAATCCTTGTGTTTAGTTCTCAGTGAGCTGTGATGTCAGAGCTTTGTCTGATGTCACAGGAGGTGCGGCAACTTGAATGACATCAGATAATAATTAGCAACTTGTTGCACAAGATCTTTGCTTAAAACTTTAGTTTTAACTGTCAAAGTGTTTTGACTGTCCCATGGACCACTGGTTTTTAATGAAATTATCCAAAAATGAACAATCTGTTGTTCATCAACAACTGATTACCTTTTGGGACTACCCTAATTCAAGATGGCCACCACAACTCATGAACACTATCCAACACAAACTGGTTATAGCTCAGTCAATTTCACAGATATTGAACTAAAATTGTGTGTGGTAGCTGAAAGTCATTCCTAAGACACACACTGAGCACGACACAATGTGCAAGATTTTTGCTTAGAGCTTTTGTTTCAGCTGTTTGCATTAACCCAATTTATCTGTCAGGAAAAAATAAAATAAAATAAAAACGGCTGGACTAATTATATTTTAATGCTCAGAAGGTAATTATTGGTACTTATGTGTTGGCCACAGCAAACGAACCTGCAGTGAAACAACAATATATATAACTTATGGATAAGTATTACATATGTTGTTGGCAGCCATCTTGATCAAAATTCTCCAATGAAAGGTGGCAAGCGATACGCATCTCTCCAAGTCCTTTATTGTTTCTTTGTTTTTGTGTGGAGATCGTTTTATGAAGCAGGATTCATGTCTCAGAGATCWTCAGTGCTGTTAAATGTCTTTCATCATGGCAGCTGCAACTGGAAGCATTAAAGTTTATTAGAGTTTTTTTCCTCTCTCAGGTTTTGGACTGGATTGAAAACCATGGTGAGGCCTTTCTCAGCAAACACACAGGTGTAGGGAAGTCTCTTCATAGAGCCCGGGCCCTGCAGAAACGGCATGATGATTTTGAAGATGTGGCTCAGGTGAGTCTGTCCTAACAACAGGTGTGTGTGTGTGTGTGTGTGTGTGTGTGTGTGTGTGTGTTACCAAAATATCTAACAAACCACTGAACAAATTTATTGAAATTGTTAGAAAGCAATCATTGGATGTATTTCTACAACTGATTATTGTTTGGAGTCATTGAAATGCAACATGGTTGCCACAGTTAATCACCATTACATCCAACCRTTTTTTTGTTTTATTTATCTTTCTTTATTCTATCTCACCCTCTCCTTTATTGAGCTGCAGTAATGTGCAGATTTCCCCACTGTGAGATCAATAACGTTTTATCGTATCATATCGGATCTTATCTTATCTTATCTTATCTTATTGTATCTTATCTTATCTTCTTATTATCTTATCGTATCGTATCATTTCTTATCATATCTTATCTTATCTTATCGTATTGTATCTTATCGTACCTTCTTATTATCTTATCTTATCTTATCTTATCTAATCGTATCATATCTTCTTTTTATCTTATTGTATCTTATCTTATCGTACCGTATCATATCTTTTTATTATCTTATTGTATCTTATCGTATCTTATCTTATCTTATCTTATCTTATCTTATCAACCAACACGTTAAAGGTAATAACTAAGTCATTTTTGCAGTGAGTCATCCAACTCACATACTTTGTGCACTAACCCATTTCACAATTCAGTATCCCATGAGGTTGCWCACAGCACTATTTTCAATGTTTAACCAACAATGACTTTAACTGTATCATCTTCATCATCAACATAAGATGATTTAAGTCTAAAACTTTGGTATGAAAGGTTGTAGGTGATGTGACTTACTTCAAGGAATGCTWGGCCTTCTATTGTCTCATGTAATCTGATCCTCAGGAGAATTAAAACAAGCCTGTGTGTGTAAGTTCTGTTATTTTGGAGTTAAAAGAAAGAGCCGTTTATTACAAAAGGTCTGAATTTCATTTAGGAATTAAAAAAAAAAAAACAAGCCGATATCCAGACTCAGATTCACCAACAGAGCATGCTAAAGCAGTTTTATTAAAATGTTTATTTACTTGCTTTGCAAACATCTGTTCGTAATCTGCACTGATTATTTCTGAATTCTGAAAAGCAGCATGCCTGGTGGCAGGAAGCTTACAGACCTGTGTGTATGACCAAATATAGKCATGATGCTGTCCTGGAAGGTCTGCACAAGATGGTCCTAATTTACCGCTCTGCTCCATCATGTGAAAAAAAAACAAGAAGATGAGGTTTTATTCAGAGAGATGAAAACAAAGAAACATATTGAAGGTTAAGTGTGAGCAGCATGTGCAGAGTTCCTTGTGCACTGCAGACAGCACACACTCAGCGGTCAGTTTATAGACCTTCAGTGTACGTACATTACCCTTCTTCTCCACAATRGGTCATTGTTTATTCTTATTTACTGCAATTATTAAACCTGAATTATATTAAATAGGAAGCCTGATTTTTGTGTTTCACTGCGGGACAAAAATTGCGTAGTTTTCTATTCTTACCACCTGCTAAGACCTCTTCTTGTGCATTGCCCCCAAAAAAGTAGTTCTCACTAGAGTTTTGTGTTATTCGTCAGAACTTTGTGGGCTTGTTTGTTTATGTTAAATGGCTGCAGTGAACTTATATTTTAGCAGTGTCTACTTTGTCTGCTGGCTGAAGCTGTCAGGAAATACAGCCAACATTAAAACGTTTTCCATTAAAGGGATCCATGATTAGTTGTAACATTAGACTTTGTTTGATAAACATTTATTTTAACTGTAAAATAAAGACTAAAAATACTGTAGGATGTTTAGTTCTGTAAATTTTTTAAAATATATTTTAACACGGATGGAGCCATTTTATTTACATGCAAAGCATTCTGGGTAAATGATGACGTCAACTAGGTCATCGGTGCGAGGCTGCTAGCGAG